ATCATGGAAAGGCTAGGAAAAAAAAGTTAAATGTCAGCTATGTTGAAAGCTAATTTCTTCTCTCTGCCTGTCTGTGTCTGCACACAAATATTTGGATCATACACCATAGACAGCACATCACTTTTTTGTCTCCCATTAAAACTTTTACTCTAAAAAGAAAAGAGTTCTTAAAAATTATTATTATGTACTCAGTTTTTAAATAATTAAAATTTCTAATTCAAAATTATGTCCTTGGGGTATAAAAGAACCATTCAAGTTTGAGATATGTTCTAGGCTATTATAATTTTAAACCACCTTTTCAATTCATACCTATTCTCCTTGACTTACGCACATTTCTCTGTCTCCCTCTCTCTTTTCTCTCTTTTCCTCCTCTCTTTCCCACTATCTTTTGCTCTTCTTCCCCATCTCTTTTTTGGGGCAGGGGAGGGGGAGGAGGGCTAGGCCATGGGGCTAAGCTACTTGCCCAGGATCACACAGCTAGTAAGTGTTATGTGCCTGAAGCCAGATAGAAGTCAGGTCCTCCAGGACTGGTGCTCTATCCACTGCGCCACCTAGCTGTCCCTCTTCCCCATCTTTTACGCAAGACACCCTTGATGCCTGAATTAGTTTTGACAACTTAACATTTTTTAAGACCTATACATTGAGTATTAGACTTAGGTCTTACTAATGGAACATCTAGAATATTTAATAATTTGTACTTCAGTACAACTTCACCCTCTTCTGTTTGATTTTAGCCAAAACTTTAAAAAAAATATTTAAGGAATTATTTTGTGTTGATTAGTTACCAATATTGATGAGAATATAATCTAAAGTCTACATATCATGATTCTTAATTAGATACTAGTTTGAGAGCTTAAAACTACTGGTTAGCTTGGTATTCTACAAACATTAATGGCTGTCTATAACATGTAAAGATGAGATGAATTATCAAATATGGGGAAAGAATGAGTGAGTCGTGAGAGAATTTTTTGAGGTTAGCATCTCTTTTCTTAACTTTGTATATAAGTAAAGCCTTGAGAGCTTAGAAGGTGCCCAGAATACATACCACTCAGTAGAAAGAGAGAAATAAGAGAAAGGAAAGAGATGGGGGTAGAGGCAGAGAAAGAGAGGCAGAGACAGAATGTTCTATGTTCTCACAGAAATACATGGGAATGCAGATGAGAAACAGGAACTGTGGAAGTAACTGTGGCATGTACTGTTCACTGGTTCATCTATTCCAAAGACCATGAAGTATCTATATTCACACTAAGTGTTTATATTTTTCACCACCCAAACTAAGGAAATATCCGAAAGTAAACCAGTTAACTTGAAATGCATCTTGGGCATATGGAAGTCTATTTCAGAAGCTGCTGGGCACATAAGCTACTTCAGAAGCCCAATTGAAAGTAATGTGATGGTCTGCCATCATTATTTAACATAAATTGAGCCCCTACAATCAATCAATCAACAAGAATTTACAAAGCTCTCTTTATGTGTCAGGCACAGTGCTAGGTCCTAGGGATAATAAAGAAAAGCCCAAAACAATCCCTTCCCTCAAGGAACTTACATTCTAATAAGGGAGACAATGTGTACACAAGATACACAAATAAACAAAATACATATGCAGCAGATACAAGGTAACGCTTAGAAAGGAAGGCACCACAACTACAAATCAATATACGAGCCGCCATTCCTGTGGAGAATAACTTTTAATGGAAGACTTTCTCAATGTCTCTTAGTTCTATAGCCTTCCCTCCATAAATTATTTCCTATTTATCATATGTAATATATATATGTATATAAAACTTGTTTGTACATGTTTGTTTGCTTTTCTCCTCCATTAGATCGTGAGTTCCTTGAAGTCAGAGGCTGTCTTTTGCCTCTTTTAGAATCTCCATTGCTTAGTACAGTGTTTGGAACATAGTAAGAGCTTAATAGGTCCTTAATGACTGATTAAGGGAAATTTTAATTATTCTGTCTCAGCTAGTTTTAAATTTCTCTTTCTAAAAAGTAGTCCTTCCCTTCCACATATTACATTGTCTCACAAAAATAAAACAGAAATTATGAACCATACTTAAAATAACTGGGGTTGAGAATAGTTGAACATTGATGACATTTTATTAGTGTGGAAGAAACTTCCTATCCTTTTAGACATTTCAAAGCATGCAGCTTCTAGTCACAGTCTCTCATTCTTCATAAATAATAAATTCTACAGAACATAAGCATCTCTCATTTGTTAGACAATAATTACATACTAAGTACTGATGGGGTTTGCTCACTAGAACTTGGTATGTAATACATGTAAAATTTCCAAATATACTTTCATGTATTTATATGTAGCTTAGTGGCATAGTGGATAGCATACTGGACTTGGAATCAGGAAAGCCTGAGTTCAAATGTGGTCTCTGATGCATACTAGCTGTGTGACTCTGGGCAAGTCATTTAACCTCTGCCTTAGTTTCTTCAGCTGTAAAATTGGGGGGGGGGAGTGTAATAATAGCACCTTGTGAGGATCCAGTGAAATGATATTTGTGAAGTGCTTTGCAAACCTTAAAGTGCTATGTAAATGCTAGCTATTATTAAAGAGATCAGTAAAAATTTCACATAACTTAAAAATGTTTTCTACTAACACCAGGAATTTAGACTCAATTTAACAGGTATTTTTTTTTCTATGTGCAAGCACTTGTCTGCTAGATTATGATTGATAGGTCATGAGTTCTTGAGTGTTTTTCAATTTTCCTTCCTACTTTATTCTGCTCTTCAGCCAGGGATGGATAGACATTTTGGCGAGCAAGAGAACAATTCCTTAATGTTACAGTGGAGTTCCCTTTTAGGGGACTGACCCTAATAATGGAACCAGTTGCATCAATGGTAAAATCACTTTCTACACATATACAGTATTCTGTCCTTGATGGTTGACCCCTCCTTTTCAGCAGTGCAAACCTAGGAAATGAATGAAAACTATGAAACTAAACACTTGTCAAGTTTGGTAGTCATGAAGAAGTAAAAATAATTCCTTATTTTCCAATACCAAAGAACCTGAAGAAAGACCAAAGATACTTTGACATCAGCTCTAGAATCTGGAAAATCAAACTGGTTTTGTTAGAGATATGTAATTTGGACCAATTTTTTATTTCACTGATAATTAGAACCCCTAATTTCTTTCATTGTCAGTTATGAGGAATTGGTGGGTTATTATTTATAAAAATCAAATGTAAATTCCCAAGTGTTTTAAAAGCAAATAAGGCAGGTAATGTGATATGTACTAGAGAGCTGGCCTCAGAGTCAGGAATACCTGGGTCCAAGTCACTCTGTGACATATACTGGCTATGTGACCTTGGGCAAATCATTTAACTTTTCAGTGTCCCAGGGAACTCTCTATGATTACATTGGAGCAGCATGGTACAATAAAGTGTGCTAGATTGGGGCTCAGAGGTACTTTTCAAGTTGCTGACCTCTTATTTAAGATCACTGTCTAAAACTTTGTTCTTTGTTTTAAACTTTGAATTTAAAACTTTAAAAATTTAAACTTTAAACTTTGAATTCTTTGTTTTAAAATCTTGTTTTTCCCTGTGGTGTGGTAAAATCCATTTCCACACAATTGGACAGAGAAAACATATGTCAGTGGATAGAGAGTTGGCCTCCAAACCAGGAAGACCTGAATTCAAATCTTACCTCTCACCCATATTGATTGTGTGATCCCAGGCAAATCATCAACCCCACAGTGCTTTAGGAAAATCTCTTCACTCTATGTCGTTGATCTGCATTGGTAGTATCAAGATGGCATGGCTAGAGAATCTCATGAGAAAATTTGGCAACAAAATCACAGGTCCAATCCTTCTCTCAAACCTCTACTAATACCCTGGAATTTTACTATATAATATGACCTATTAAAGCATGGCATTTATTATAGCATGAGATAATATTTGTAAGATCAAATGAGATACTTGTAAGGTGCTTAGCACAGTGCCTTGCACATAGTAGGTGTGATATAAATGCTAGCTATTATTATTGACATGGGCCCAACATGGACTGTATTCAAAGCAATCGAGTTGCCAGAAGTTCTCAAAAATCTCATGAGAGTATCCTTGTGCTGTGGACCCCAAAGACTTTATTATATAGGAAGATTAACTAGGCAATGATACAGTTGCTCTGAAAAAGACCAGTTTACCAGAGCTTGTTTTTTCCTTGATTTTGTAGAGGGAAAAAAATATGCAGCTCTGAAAATAACCCAAACAAAGAATTAGCTAGATTTTATAATTTTCTAAGTAAACCTATTTCCTGGTCCTGTAGTTTTTAACTCCATATGAAACCTCAGAGGAAGAAGATGAGACCAGGAAGTTGGAAAATAGAAATGCTTTGTCTGGTTTCAGAATCAACTTAGATGTTGGGTTTCTAGTCCCGTTTGTAGTGATATATCAAAGGGAAGAAAAAAATAAACATGAATACTCTTCCAAAGCTGTACAAATCTGAAATAATCATTCCCAGCATGAGACCTTGTATGAACAGAGTTCTTACAACTGGAATCACGGATAGTGACCAACCTGGCAGTCCATTGTGTGGTTTGTAGAACCATACAGTGACTTAGAACCAAGGGACAAGTCACTTTATATTTTTGGGTATCAAGTTACTCTTCTTCAAAGTACTATTGGGAAACAAGGTGGGGCAGTGGATAAAGCACTGGGCTTGGAATCAGGAAAAGTCTTCTTCCTGAGTTCAAATCCAGCCTCAGACACTTACTAGCTGTGTGACCCTGTGCAAGTCACTTAACCCTATTTGCCCCAATTTCCTCATCTGTCAAATGAGCTGGAGAGGGAAATGGCAAACAAACCATTATCTTTGCCAAGAAAATTCCAAATGGACTCATGAAGAGTCAGACATGACTGAAATGACTCAACAACAAAGTATTAAAAACTTGCATTTCTTTGGCATGTTAAGGGCTCCTCACAACAACCCCATGAAGTAGGCAATGTAAGAATTAATCCAATTTTACGGTTGACATTCAGAGAGGGAGAACTGACCTGCCAGTGGTCACAGAATTGACAAGGGTCAAAGCCGTATTTAAATCCAGATCTTCTGACTTCCAGGGTAGGGTTGTGGACGTGCCTGGTTGTTTGTTGTTTCCTTCACGACACCAGAGAGGCCCCTGCGATTGTGTCCAACTCTAATGTTCTATGATTCTGTGACTGAGCTAAAAATAGGGAGGGAGGAAAACCATGACATGTAAGAATCAACTGAAGAAACTAAAGATGTGTGGTCTGGAGAACAAAAGGTGTAAGAGGAATACGATAGGTGTCTTAAAGTAGTTGAAGGATTATCAGGGGGAAAGTGGAAGGTGGGGGGTTTTGCTTGTTCTTTGTGGTCCCAAAGAAAAAAAGTATGGAGCCATAGGTGGAAGTTAAAGAGGTAGATTTGGGTTCAATACATGGGAAACTCTCCTGACAACCAGAAATGCTTAAAAATGAAACAGATGGCCTTGGAAAGTAGTGAGTTTCTTATCACTAGTGATTTTTTAAATGAGGGCTGGATGACCACTTGTCAAGGATATTGTAGAGGGGATTAGATTGTTCTTCCTGACCTCAGGGGTTACTCCCAAATCTGAGCCATCCATCCATAATGGGCTTATGGCACTGGCATTGGTAATATAAATCAGCCAACAAAAAGTTCGTGTGTTCAAGGAGGGAAAAACAACAACACAATATTTTTACTTAAGTGAATTTTATACACACATCCCATCTTCTTCCTACTCTGTAAATGGTATCACAGCACAAAATATACCTATTTCAGAGGTGGTAGCACTTAGCACAATGCCCCCAGTACATGGTACAGTGCCTGGCATTGTAGTAGACACTTAATAAATGTTTAGTGATTGATTGATTGGCAGAACTTAAGGTGAGCTCATCTGTGGTCAGGCTACAATAAGCACCATTTTAATAAATGAACTTTTAAATAGCTACAGAGCTCAGGACACTGATGTAGATTATAGGCTTTCCTGCCATAGGCAAATTCAATCATAGTAAACTTTGCACAGAATGGGTACCACCAGCCCCCCAAATGCAGACCTTTAACCCCAACAACAGCAACAACAAAAAGAGATACCCTTCATCTTTCATTTATAAAAATAAGCTCTATTTCCATGTCTGATGGTGTTTCAGTTTACTTTTTGACCATCTGGTTCACATTATGCTGTGAGACAATAAAAAGTCTGTTTCCTGAAGTGATAACCACAGAGAGCTCCCATTTCACATTCAGTGTGGTCATCCTGATTGGCCTGGGTGTGGCTTTGAGGACATTAAAATTGTCTCTAGTTAAGAATTCTTCCTGCTTTTTAAAATGAGGGATTTGGGGGCTTGGGGATTTTTTTTTGCATGTTATAAATATTATAACTAGCACTAGTGTAGAAATGGAAATGCTTTTGCAAAATGATTGGCTTGCTTATTCTTGCTGCCTTGCTGGACTGTATGCCTGACATTTTATGGCAATAAGATTTTCAAACAAGAATAATTGGTTTGCTAGATTCCATTCACCCAAGTTGTCATGAGGATTTCGAGGGAAATTGCAGTCTTGTCTTGCTATAAAGCAGAGTTGAGAGTCTATTTTTAGGGGATCTTACTCTAGGGTTTTTCTTGATGGCTTGCCATCTTTCTGAGCACTCAGGGCCAAGACAAACCAAATCTACTTTTGGATAGGGGAGGATTTTCACCCTTTTTGCATATGCATATTTTTCAAAAGGACACAGAGACGGTTTTGTTGTCTTTGTGGTCACTGGGTCTGCTTTACACAGATGCCTATTAATCACTTCACTATGGAGACAGACACATTCATCATATCACACCAACTTGGAAACAAGCAATCTAGTGAATTGATAGTAAAGAGAAAAGGAATTCTGGCTTAACTATAACAAGTTATTCTCCTTTTAGTGCTTTTCATGATAAAGAGGTAGAAAGGACTTTTTAAGTTTTTCTTTGGAACTTAGGTCAGTTTGGGGGATTTTATCAAATTAATCAGTGCCTTTCAGCTGTCTCTTTAAAATGGAAGGGAAGAGTAGAATTAAATGATGGAGAGGTGAAAATATTCAGGCAATCTAGTCATACTTTGGGTATGATGGTATTACAACTGTTTCAGCGTCTAGGCTTTGCATGCTAAAGAACAACTTGAAAAACCGAGTGGAGAGACTGGGACAGATATAAGAGATGTTATGAAGATGACATCAAAAAGACTTAGCAATTGATTGGCTATGTAGAGTGAGGCAGAATAAGGAGTATAGAAATGACTCCACTGTTGCAAATCTGTGTAGAGAATTTCAGTGCCCTTGACAAATATAGGGAAGTCTAGAAGAAATGTTTGAGGGAAAAAAACAATGGATTATCTTTTGGACATACTGATTTTTTTGAAGCCTATAGGGCATGCAATGTAAATTGTCAAAAGTGTATTTAGTGGTGTGAGACGGGCTCTTGGGAGAGAAACCAGGGCTATATATATAGATCAGGAAGTCATCTGCAGTGAGAAGATAACTGACCCCATCCATGGGAGCTGGTGAGATCACTGAGAGAAAGAGTGTGGAGAGAGAGAGAAAGAAGAGGAAAGGAGAGGAGAAGAGAAGAGAAGCAGAACAGGTATTATGAGCCATCAGTGGAAACTGAGAAGAAGCAATTGGAGAGGTAAAAGAATAACCAAGTGAGAGCAATTATCTAACCATTCCATCTTTCTGTCACCTGCAAGTTTGGCAAACGTGTGGTCAATGCCTCTGTCTAGCTAATCGATAAAAGTGTTATACAACACAAGGCAAAGCAGGATACTCAGGGCACTCCCCTAAAGACCACCTGTGATGCAATCAATTTCAAGCCCATACAATTCAGTGATTACAGAGTCCATATTTCTTCATTTTTATACAAGATTGTGAGCTGCTTTTTATATTTTGCTAAAAATTCCAGTAGATTTAACATTCCCTTTACCTACTAGTTTAATAACCCTGACAAAAAAATAAAATAAAGTTAGTCTGGAATGATCTATTCTTAATGAAGTCATTTTAATATTTTAAATCATTGCCTTCTTTCTAGATGTTCACTAAGCATTGTTTTAATGGTCAGTAGGATATGGGATAATATGGAGATCATTTGAACTTAGCATTGGAGTGGAGAAGGTGCTTTTGATAAATAGTCTTACATTTTTTTCTGGTGAATTATGAGGCAAGGTCATCTGCTAAGAAGGTAGGGAGAAGTAATGGTATAACTAGTTTGAGAAAAGAGGCAGTTTGGAATAGTTGCTGTATGATAAATTGTCAGTCAGGGCAGAGTAAAATGATGGTTTGCAGATGTTAAGGTCCATTTGAGATTGGATAACATAAATTTGTGATGGAATCAGTCAATACAGTTGCATGATTTCTTCCATCAATATTCAGCAGAAGGAAATGGAGAAAGCATATGTTAGGAATAATACATGTCAGATTTTAAAATGGGATGACTGGTGCTAGGACAATGGATCTAGGGACTCAAGAGTCAAGAGCAGTGTAAAGGTGAAACTGGTTAAGTAAAGGGTTAACTTCAAGAGTGGAAAAACTAGTTCAGAGTAAGAGTAATGGTGTAGTAAAGCAGAGAAAGGCAGAGAAACTGGAAATTATGATGAAGACAAAGAATAGGCTTAAGATCAGTGTATCATAAAGAGATCCAGAAAGACAAGAGATTCTGGTCAGATAGAGAAATTTCAGAATTGTGTCTTAGGGAAGTAAAATATGTATGGTTACTCAGGGGTATAATTGTTCTTCCATATAGCTGAGTATAGTATAGTGGGCAGAGGACTAGATTTGGAATCAGAAAGACCTGAAGTTGTATCCTACCTCGGATACTTAACTAACTGTATGACACTGAGTAAATCATTTATCCTCTCTGATTCTCAGTTTCCTTACCTGTAAAATGGGCTTGGTGACCTCTAAGTTTCCTCCTTCCAGTTCTAAGTCTGTGACCCAGTGTAGCTGAAAATCATAAGAACTGGGAAGGTTGATGGACTTAGAAACAAGTTTTTTGAGACATAAATATGTAAGTCAAAATTGCCAAGTATAGGGCAGGAGTTGGGGTGGAAGGAGAAGAAGACTATGAGCTAGATATTGAGCTAATTGAGAAAGGAAGGAGACTGATCTAAGGGTTAGTATAAAATAGCCATCAGGATATGAAAAGGGCAATATTTCTTCATGGAGTGAACCTCAGAGGAGGAAAGGGTGGTGGGGAAGGGTCAAAAAGGAGTATCAGCACTAGAGGGTGGCCAGAGATGGGCTGACTTCAAGGGAGAGCCAGGTTTCTGTGTTTGCAAGAATATGGAAGAAGCATCACAGCATAACCCATGATTATCTTGGATTACAGAAAATCACATACTGAAGAAAAAAGTTCTGCTGGGAAATGGAATTCTTTGGTCTGCCAGTCATAACTGACTGAGAATGAATTAAGTCTTAAACAGAAAATGTTGGGATTTTTTTCCTCCTTTGCACTGGTTGTGGAGGAGGTAACCTACAAGAAGCTGGGGGTGGGGTGAGGATGGGGAAGGTGTGAGTGAGAAGTCTGCTTGAGATTTTTAGAACTGAGTGCTGGAGGTATAAAGTGAGGAGTTTTGTTTGTGTTTTATTGGTAATTGTGGTATGAGTCAAGAGATTGTGGGGTGGAGGGAGAGAAAAATCTAAGAAAGATGGATGGATAAGAGAAAGGAAAAAGAGAAAGAGAATCAGAGGAAGAGAGAAAAGAGACATAGACAAAGAGATAAAGAAAGACAGAGACAGAGAGAAAACATGAAGGCAGTAGTCTTGACAGGATCCCAAGAAACTTAGTTCTCTCAAGTAGATCTGGTAAACGGTGATGACTTCTTGAATTTGTTTATACTTTTTGTCATAGTAGATGTCATTCCAGATTTAATCGACTAATGAATAAGCATTTATTAATAAGTTCTTACTATATGCCAGAAACTGTGCTGAGCTCTGGAATACAAAGAAAAGGTAAAAATATGCACTTATATTCTAATGTGAGGGAAATGATATGTATGGAATGATGTATAAATAAGGTATGTGTGTGTATGTGTATGTGTGTATAGAGCATACCTTAGCATAAAAGGCACTAGTAATGGAGGGACGGCGATTTGGGGAGAAGACCCAGAAAGGCCACCTTCAAAAACTAAACTCTGTCTTAAAACCAAGTGTTCTTTTTTATTATTAAATTGTATTTTAATTTATGGAAGAAAACAAGCTTTTCCATAACATAGTACAATAAAAAAGATGATTGCACATGAAATTGCAAATCTGTTATGCAGAGTTTGTTATTCCTTTCAAATATACAAAAATCAGATTTAAACAAATGGAGAGATGTTAATTGTTCATAGGTAAGCAAAGCCAAGTATTCTAAGAGGCAGAGGTCAGGAGGAAGATCATTTCAAGAATGGGATACAGTCAGTGCAAAGCATGGAGAGCAGATAATGAAGTATCGTGGCGTTTAATAGGCTAATATGCTTAGACTGTGAAGCGTATGTAGATGTGAGAAGAATGGAAAGGAACTGAGTTATAAAAGGTTTTAAATGTCAAGAACAGGAATTTGTATTTCTTCCAAAAAGTAATAGTGAACCGTTGTAGTTTACTTTACTAAGTATGGGATAACATGGTAAGACCTACACTTTAGGAAAACCACTTTGACAGCCATGTGGATGATAGAGACTTGAAGCAGAGAGTCTAATTGGAAGGCTGCTGCAATATTTTAGGTGAGAAGTGATGGGTGCCTGAACTAGAGTGGTGAGTACAGAAAAGGAGGCAAATGAGAGAGATACAATGGAGAAAGAAATGATAAGATTTGGTAACTAGATGTATATGTGAAGTGAGTGAAAGTTGAGAATGACACCAAGGTTGGAAATATGGGTGCCTGGGAAGATAGTAGTGCCCTTGACAGTAATGAGGAATTTCAGAAGAGGGGGTAGGTTTTGGGGAGAAGATAATGAGTTCTGTTTGGAACATATTAAATTTGAGATGTCTAGGGGATATCCAGTTGAAAATATCCAGTGCACAGTTGGTGACGCTGGCCTGGAACTCAGGAGACAGACTAGGACTAGATCTACAGACCTGGAGAGAGATGATAATTGAAACTATGGGAGCCACCGAGGTCATCAAGTGAGATAGTATAGAAAGAAAAGAACGCCTAGGACAAAGCCTTTGGAAGAGCTGCAAAAAAGAGGGCATCACCATGGCTAGAAAAGTAAGAGATAAAGATAAAGGGAGAGAGGTTCTGACCTTCCATTGAATGAGAAAAAGTCTTGCTGATATTTTCCTTTTTAAATAAATAAGTAGGAATCTAATTAGTATTTGTTGGTTAATTGATTAATCTAATGATACAGGGCTATTTAGGAGAATGAATGCTGGATTTGGCATAGATTTGGAGTAGATAATGGTGGCAAATCCCAGCTCTTCCATTTAGGATTTGTGTGGCCTTAGGCAATTAGCAAAACATCTCTGAGTCTCAGCCTCCTCAACTGTAAAGTAGAGAGGTGGGGGCAGGGGTGGGGGGTGGGGTATTGGACTACAGACTTCTAAGGTCCCTTCCTGCTCTAAATATGTGATCCCATGATTTGTGACCCCCAAATGCTTAAATAAATTACTTAATTTATTTTAAAGTAAATTTACATTTATTATTAAAGTTAATTATAATTAAATTTAAATGAAAATATGATCTCTTAGAATGTGGGGGTCCAATTGCTATTGTAAGATTAAGAATTCTATGCTAAAAAAGGAACATGATTGAAGTGAACAGGTTCAAGTATCAGTCTACTGCCTGAAAAATCTCTAGATTTAAGATGGAGCATCAGGAGATTACATTCTTAATTGGTCCCCTCCCCCCCAAAAAATCACTGAATTATTGCATACTCCAATTTCTACAATTGAAATAGGAAGAACAACCCTTTGCTACCTCAGGGCATGGTGTAAACCACTGGTAGCTAACAAATTAATGCAAAATACTTTTTTTAAGAGGGAAAGAATTAACAACACCCCATTTTCACGTAGTGAAAATAGCAACCTTGGAAGATTGCATTCCAGGTCACTGAAGCAGAGTAGCAGACCCTCATATAGTCTACCTTCTCAGCGGCTCCAATAAGGCAGATACAGTGATGAAAGAACAAAGACTACAACATTCTGATAGTAATTGTACATTGTTCATTAATTGTGCATTGTGACACTGTACATTAATATTTGCAGAGCACTTTACACGTTATCTGTTTTGATCCTCACAACAGCCTTGGGAGTTAGGTGTTATTATCATCCCCATCTTTACAGATGAGACTGAGAAAGGATAAGTGACTTATCCAAGATCACACACCTAGTAAGTGTCTGATTCAGAATTTGAATTCAGGTCTTACTGACTCCAAGTCCAGTCTAAGCACGGTGCCTGCCACTTAGAAGCCTCTAACGTCTTTTTTCCCCCTTAAATTTGTTATTTTACTTTCAGATGTGCACTCTCTACCTTCCACCTCCTCCCCTACCCCCAATTGAGAAAGCAGGAAAATCAAAACCCTTGTTACAAACATGTACAATCAAGCTAAATATATTCTCATATTATCAATGTCCAAAAAAAAAAGTATGAACTTGTACCCTTAAGTCCATCACCTCACTCTCAGGAGATGCTGCCTCTAGCTTCTTGAAGACTTGAAGTGTTGAAGACTTGTCTACGTTAGTAAATTAGGGTCATTAGCCACAACAATTAGAAAAAGGACTGTCTGTGTAAGTTCAAGGAGTTTTTAAATGAAAAAGAGACTTGAATTTCTCCTGCCCATTTCATTTTCTACATTTGGTAACAAATGCCTCTCCAAATAAGATAGTTAGGCAGCTAGGTGGCACAGTGGATACAGTGCTGGGCCTGGAGTCAGGAATACCTGAGTCCAAATCCAGCCTCAGACATTTACTAGCTGTAGGACTCTGGGCAAGTCACTTGACTTCTGTTTGCCTCAGTTTCCTCATCTGTAAAAATGAGGATAATAACAGCATCTACCTTCCAGAATTGTGAGGATAAAATGAGATAATAATTGCAAAGTGTTTAGCATAATGCCTGGCACATACTAAGTGCTACATAAATGTTAATTATTATGATTCATGAAGCATCCTCACTAGAGAGGAAAAAAAGAGAAAACACACACAAGACTTACGTGTCTAAAGAGATCTCCTAGTGTATATTCTTTACCACCAACTGGAGATAGGAGGGGGTGCTGTGGTCCTCCAACTCTGCATCAAAATTAAGTTGATGATATGGTAAGTCTTCCAGAGTTGGTGTCTCAGGTTTGCCTTCTGTAGATGAAAAGTCCCATCTCAGACATAGTGAAGATGTTTCCTCCTTTTGGAGAGTTCCAGGATGATGACCAGTAGGGAACTACCTGTTAACTAGCTTTGCTCCCAGATTCCTATGTTGCGATCTTTGAATAAGAATTGGGTGAGGAGTTTGAGAATATGGAATTGGAATGGTTCCTCATTTATTTCAGGGGGTTGTGGAGGATCCTGTCTGTAATGCCAGGCACTATGGGGCAATTTGGGACCAGATGGACACTTATCTATGAAAATATAATTGGAGAAATGGGGAAACTTAAGTTGGTTTCAGAGTTGGAAGCAAAAGAAATCAACATAATTAAAACTACACAACTGGCATGGCTTTGGTTTATTCTTTCTAGAGTATCAAAGGCCTTATGGTGGTGTTTTTACATTTTCCCCTTAAGATTCTACATACAAATACTAACTAATACACAAAGATCTTAACAAGGAGAGAAGGGCCTCAAATAATAATATAGCTATGTGTAAATGTGTGTACGGGCAGCTAGATGGCATAGTGGATAGAGTGCCTAGCCTGGAGTCAGGAAGACTCATCTTCCTGAGTTCAAATGTGGCCTCAGACACTTATTTGCTGTGTGAACCTAGGCACTTAACCCCATTTGCCTCAGTTTCTTTGTGTATAAAATGAGCTGGAGAAGGAACTGGCAAACCACTCTAGCATCTTTGCCAAGAAAACCCCATGAAGAGTCGGACATGACTGAAATGACTGAACACATCATCATCAAATTGTGTGGGTTTGTATCTATTCTAGCAAGAAATAGTAATTCACTTAGATTCCCAAGATCCAGTTCTTAACCCTGTGTCTGCGGCATAGATTTCTGAATTGAATGGGGAAAATTTACATTTTTGTTTTCACAACTGAAATTCAACATTTCTATCAATTATGAATATAGGCAATAAAACATTATTCCAAGAAGGGGACCATATGCCTCATCAGTTTGCCAAAGGGGGGTCTATGACACAAAAATGGCTACGAATCAATGCCCTAGAGGAAGGATGGCACTCAGAACTATAAGACTGCAAGAAGTAAACACATTTTTATACATATCAGAGCCACAACAAAGTGAAGTTGGTTGAGCCCTTGGAGTTAGGAAGACCTGGTTTAAATCCCTCCTCCTTCCCTTAATAACAGTGTAACCCTATTGGAATCGCTTTCCTTTTCTGGGCCTTGGATTCTTTATCTTACAAATGAAGAGATTATACTTGATGGCTTCTAAAGGCCCCTTCTAGCTCTAAAGCCCATGATCCTTTTCATCTTGAGACTGGGTCATAGAAACCACAAACCAGACACTGGGAAACGAATTGCATTAAAACTTGAGTGTCCATCTTGTTAACACATTGAGACTTTCTCAGACAATTTTTTTCCTCATTGAATCAGGCCTAGCTAGTAATTTGCATGCAGATGGTCCGTTTTAGGGTCACATAAGCCCAAATGAATTATTTAAGGATCAATTTCTTATCTCTTTTTAAGCATCTGGTCTTAGAGTCTTTGAGTAACTACTAAGAGTATTTGTCGATTTTTAAAAATTTGCACCAAAGATAAGGTCAATATTAAAGTGTTTATTGTGCAGTTAAAGAATAATTCTTTTTGCTACATTTAGAACCAGTTACAGGCATTCTAAAGATAGCCCACTTAATTTAGAAATCCATTTCAAAATTTCTACACAAGTGGTATATACTACAAATATAATACCCACTGTGACCAGTTCTTCCTATCTTCTGGTAATATTGCCATCAGTATTGTCAGGGAATCTTACTTGGATGACTTAGAATTGGTATCTTTTGCTAAATATTTCATTTTTTGTTGATTGTATTATTATATTTTCATGCCTTAATGGATTTGTTATCTCAGTGAGGGAGGGGGAGAGAGAAGAGGGGCACACTTTCTAGCACTGAAGATCCTTCCATGCCTTGTATTCTTGCCCACCTCTTGTTGCTGTCATCCCATAGATCCACTCAAAATGTTGAAGGTCTGCCTCTAGGTCTTTTGACATTGCTTAGGTATTAGTATGGAACTTGAGCTGTTCATCTCTTTGTGTGTCCAGCTTAATTGCCTTTCTGACCAACCCGTGAAAAAGTATATCAGTGTATATACTAGAAAATATAGCATTCCTGGTATGCTCTGAGTAGATAATTCTATGGTTCAGATAGGCCTGTACTCACCAAGACATGTGTCTCAGATATCCTCGTCTCAGCATCTATTCAACCTCATTTTGGCAGGACAGGGTATGAAACTGAGAAGCATAGACCTGTCACCAACATGCGTTCAATCTTTACACTCCCCATTGGAGCTACTAGGAAATGATCAAGTATGGGACAGCTGTGATTCTAGCCCCAAGTTTGCTAATAACCATCAACCTATTTCTCCTTTACTGTACTTTCTCCAACTTTTCATAATGGCCAACCTAGCCCAGTCTCAGAAACTGTCAGGGGTGGGGAACCTGCAGCCTTGAGGCCACATGTGGCCTTCTAGGTCCTTAAGTACAGCCTTTTGACTGAGTCCAAGTTTTACAGAACAAATCCTTTTATTAAGGGGATTCTTTCTATGAAGTATGGATTCAGTCAAAGGACTGCAATTGAGAACCTAGAGGTGGCCTGGAGGCAGCAGGTTTCCCACCCCGCTTTAGACCTGTCAGGAAAGAATTAGGAGATAAAAGGAAAGTTTGGAAACTGTATAGGGAATTTGCTCTCCTTAACTTCTATTTTAAAAGACCCACTTTTGACTCACCTCCACCCCCAAGTCAACCAGTGAATGAAATGGATTTCAATCTGTTGTAATTCATACCGTGCTCCTTTTAAGTAGAAACATCTCTTACAATGTAAAATACAAGATTGAGTTTGTTTTAGAGTAAAATAATATTTAAGATTTGCAAAAATGCTTTACAAATATTATCTTATTTTATCCTCACAATCAACTTGGGAGTTATACCCTGTTCTTATCCCTATTTTACAGATAAGGAAACTGAGACAGACAAAAGTTAAGTGATTTGACTTGGGCCACACAGCCAGTAAATGTCTGAGACCAGATTTGAACTCAAGTCTTCCTGACTTGAAGTCCAGTGCTATATCCACTGGACCACTTAGGTGTGAAAGTATAGTTTACTTTTGTTATCTAGCTATGTTAGATGCTGAGAAAAGTAGGTTCCTATAATGTTTTTGTTGTTCAGTCATTTTTCAGTAATGTCCAACTCTTTGCAACCTTATTTGAGGTTTTCTTGGCAAAGATACTGGAGTGGTTTGCCATTTCCTTCTCCCTTTCATTTTACAGATGGGGAAACTGAGGCAAACAGGGTTAAGTGACTTGCCCAGGGTCACACAGCTAGGAAGTGTCTGAGGCTGGATTTGAAATCAGGAAAATTAGTCTTCCTGACTCCAGGCCCCATACATTGTCCACTGTGCCACATAGCTGTCCTTCTGCAAACGTACTTGGCTGAAAAAGTAATCACTGTTCACTGACAGTTCTTTCAGCGAAACTATCAGGTCATTGCAAAATTGAAAAATAACTGTTCTTTGCCACTGCATATTTTTAGTACCCTAACAACCTATAGATAGCACTGGGAAAAAATCAGAGATGCTGTTTTTGTATGACAGCAAAAATATACAAATTTGAAACCATTACATACATTAGCTCAGTTTGTGATGCCTAAGTTTTAAAATATATTTCAGTGTAAGATGCCCTACTGTTTGAAGACCGCCACAACATAAAAGGTGTGAGTTATAGCTGAAGTCTCCTACTGTTACTGTTTTTCAATCTCTACCCTTATAAGTCTATGAAGATAATCTGGAAGTTTTTATTAAAAACATTACATTTGGAAATCATTCCATTTTTCAACCTTACCGTGCTTTGTGAGGGAGATCTTGTGGTGGTTGTCCTTCATTCTCAAGGACGTGTGTTTAGATGCCGGATCCTTGGTTCTCAAGAGCTCATCTTGCTTTCGCTATTTATTCCTTACTTGAATCATAGTATGTTGTCAAAGGACAATCATTTCCACAGCAACCAACAGTGAGAGGAGGGAGATTGGATAAAGGATGGAGAAAGAACAAATGAACTTTTAAGCATCAAGCTTATGCATCTCTTACCTTTCTTTTCAATAATCAAAATATTTCAACAGAAAAATCTGTGATATCCCTAAGCTTTTTCTTTGGAAAGATGTAGATTTTTTTTTCCCCTGAGACCTTTTCTGTGGCACCAGTAGTTTATCAGTAAAAATTCAATGTTTTATGGATTTGGGGGGGGGAAATAGGATTATATCTACATACATATAGGTTTAGGTATAAATATTAATATATGTATGTAATCCTAATTGGTGTCACTGTTATCTGCTAGTAAAATTTAGGAAATATATTCTAGAAAGATTTAATTTAGTAGATGAAAGATGTGTCTCCAGAGGCCCTTGAAGGTACATTTTCTATCTTGCTATTTCTTCCAGAATAGGAACCATGTTTACATTTCCTCAGAGCATGTTAATGCCTTTAATGCATTCGTGTTCCCTGGCTCTCCAGACATATGAATTGAGGCCTTTGGGATTTTTTTTTTTAACTACAGCATCAGGCACTTGTGATCTGACGATTGTGCCACTTGTTCACTTAGTTTTAAAAAGGAAAAGCCTTTTTCTGTTTGATTTTGATCCACATCTGCCAGCTTGGTGCCTGATTAAGCAGGAACTAGGAAAGTAACTTTCTTTAGAAATGCAGCATCTTGGTTAATGCTGTGTAAGATTATTGACTAGTGTAGTCACATATTTTTTATTAAATTGAAGAGATTAACTCCAACAAAGAAACTCACTGGGACAGCAGGCTTTACAAACAGTAATGGGACCTGACGCCTCTCCAGGCTCACTGCTAAATGCCACAAAATGATCTTCTTGCTGCAGTTTCTTCCAGATGTATTAAGGAAAAAGCCTCACTCAAATAATCAGTAGAGTTTCCTGTCTAGCATTAAGAGTGTATGTAGTATTTTTTTATTTTAAATAAAAAAATTAAATTGGC